GTTCACTTTAGTAACACAGTAGGCTGTTCACTTTGTTGTTAGAGTAGGCTGTTCACTTTAGCGTTACAGTAGGCTGTTAACTTTAGTGTTACAGTAGGCTGTTCACTTTGTTGTTAGAGTAGGCTGTTCACTTTAGTGTTACAGTAGGCTGTTAACTTTAGTGTTACAGTAGGCTGTTAACTTTAGTGTTACAGTAGGCTGTTCACTTTGTTGTTAGAGTAGGCTGTTCACTTTAGTGTTACAGTAGGCTGTTAACTTTAGTGTTACAGTAGGCTGTTCACTTTAGTAACACAGTAGGCTGTTCACTTTGTTGTTAGAGTAGGCTGTTCACTTTAGTGTTACAGTAGGCTGTTAACTTTAGTGTTACAGTAGGCTGTTCACTTTAGTAACACAGTAGGCTGTTCACTTTGTTGTTACAGTAGGCTGTTAACTTTAGTGTTACAGTAGACTGTTAACTTTAGTGTTACAGTAGGCTGTTAACTTTAGTGTTACAGTAGACTGTTGACTTTAGTGTTACAGTAGGCTGTTAACTTTAGCGTTACAGTAGGCTGTTAACTTTAGTGTTACAGTAGGCTGTTAACTTTAGCGTTACAGTAGGCTGTTAACTTTAGTGTTACAGTAGGCTACTGTCAGCAGAAAGACCTGAGAAAGAAAATTCTGTTAAAACTATTTCAATTACTGTGTTGTAATTTAGTTAAAATAACATTTCTGATGTTTTTTATTGTAACTGAGCCCTTTCCTTCTACAGAACACTAACTGTCCACATGGCAATATAGAAAAAAAACGTTGAAGTTGTAGAAAATATTATTTAGGACTTTTATTCCTTCTTCAAAATTTTTTTTTACAATTCGCATTAACGTTTATGTTTGAGGTCACGTCATTTTGCAGCGTTAATGAGCACAGATTGTTCTGTTTGTCTTATCTCTCCTTCATCTTCCTCCTGTCAAACAGCTGACAAGGTAAGCCAAAGGAATTTAAAAGCCTATATTTCTCAGCAGACTGAACTCAGTGGGGAAATTACTTTAAATGTTTTGTAGGTAACCTAGTTTCCCCTTGCCAGGTGTCTCTCTGGTTACTTGTCATTTGACTAATGAAGACTTGTACAAACTCTGTTAATCTTCTGAGGGATGTAAAAACGTTAAAAGTCTGAATGGATGTCAGCTTTGATCAGAACATATAAATAAAAGTTAGAATGTGAAGCTTTAGATTGTGCAGTCATTTGATTTGTGAACCCTGCTGCGGGTCACACAGCAGCACCACACTCACCTCCTGCCGTGTTCATCAGCACCCAGCAGGTCAGCATCAGAGGTGGCCCTCAGCTGGCTCTCCTCCCTCTGCAGCTGCATCCAGAAGAAAGCAGAGCTGTTCTGGTCCCAGTGGACCTGCTGCTGGAACCACTCCTCTCTGTCAGCAGGTCTCTGCAGGCTGCCCATGCTGGTGGGCTGCAGGCCTGAGAACATGCAGTCAGGGGGGGAACCCAGCGACTGGTACTCAGAGCTGGGAGAGTAAGCTGTGTAGGAGTCTGGGCTGGGAATGATTTCATCATAGTCATCGTCACAACTCGAGTCTGTAGGACAGTGTAAATGAACGTTAAGAGGTTATAAAAAAGAATAGAAGAGATAAAAAATTCATGTTCAGAAAGCGTTACCAGCTGGAGAAAGCTCCGAAGCCCCTGGAGAGTTGGAGGAGGGTGGGCTGTGGGTTGGTGATTGACAGGTGCTGCTGGTTTTCAGATCCTCCTCCAGAACCTCGATGATGATGGCCAGTTCCTCCAAGCCCTTCACTTGGTGTTGGACCTAAAACCAAACCACATGAATTCCTCCTGAGCCACTCCTCAACATGACACATGACAGCTTAAGTTCAGTAGAATTAATGAAAGAAGAAACAAACGCCTGGTGAGAACAGCTGCCAGGCTTTTCTTTTTTCAACACTCACCCTGATGGCTTGGCTTTTCGGGCGAGTTCTGGCTCGCTTCAGGTTTCCTGTGAAAGATGAAATCTACTTTTAAAACTTACATCTCACATTTCAATAAAAACTATTTGTTATTTAAACAAAAGCAAAAAATATCCCTTTAAGATAAGATAAGATAAGATAAGATAAAACTTTATTGATCCCACAGTGGGGAAATTTGCACATTACAGCAGCTCAAAACAGGACAGGGTGAGATAGAATAAAGAAAGATGAGTAAAAGAAAAACGAACAGTATACTTGTGATATATAACAATGTACATATGCCTAGTACATACAGTACATAGATGAATATAAATGCAGGTGTATACAGTATTTAGCGTAACTTTCAAGGGCCAGACTTAAAAACTGATACGTTTTATTTTTCTGTTTACAAACTGTTTTTATACCTTTTAGAGTGAATTTGATTCCAAATTATGAAGTGAAATAGAGAAAAATTCTGAAACAAACTGAACCCATTCTGTGTTTTAAAAGTGGGAACATTTTATTTACTCGTGGCTAAAATCTGGTGTGAACTGAGAGCACATGATTTAATAATTAAAGAAGAGAACCAGCTGTACACGGCTTGAAATGGTCCAAAATAAATAAATAAATAAATAAATAAAGGTACATTTCAGCATGAATCAACAGTTTTATGTGTTCAGGTGAAACAACAGATTTACTGCAGTTAGAAAAGTTTTACTGACCTGCTGAGGCTGTTTTTGGTCCTTTCTGCTGTAAAACAAATAAATAAAAGTGGCATCAATTTGAGTTGATTTCTGTCTGATTCCTTAAACACAAACAGACTCTGGAAGCAAACTGAACCTTCAGTGTCATGAATATAATAACACAAAATACTTAGTTTAACATTATTAAAGTAGTGGTGTGAATATTTTCTGATAATTTCACATCAACTCAAAGACATCACAACTCAAATCTTGTCTGGCAAACAAACATAAAGGAAGGGACCTGAACCTGTGTGGAGTCGTGGCCCTGGGACAGCCGGATGTTCTTCAGCATGTCTTTCACCGGCATCCTGACTCGGACCCCCAGGTACACCTTGTCACCTTCATACAGAGAACATGTTGAACCTGAAAACCAACAGAAACAGAAGCTTCAGAGCTAAACCCAGGCTCCTAAACATGACTGAACACTGAGTTGTTATTTCTCACAATTTGTTGTTTTTCTTATGAAGTCATTATTTCTGACGTGTTAGTGGGTGACTGCACCAACACAGCTGTTACAACTACCTCAAATGAAATGTAGATTGTTTTCTTTGACATACAAATAATAAATATTTTGATGAACATTATATACGTACTTTAGTCACTTTTCTTGTTCAAAGATAAAATATATAAAATATCCCCATAGTGATTTAAAGAAATTATTCAGAGGAAACAACTCTTTCAATCTGAAGTAACTTACAAAATAAAAGCTTCATCAAAAAGTTGTTTTTGACCCAAAGAAAGTCACAAATCCTGAATATTTATCTGAAGTAAACAAAAGTTGCTTATTTAGTGATTTTAATATAATTTGTTCTGCATTTATTACCATTATCTGTCTCCTCTCAAACCCTTAAGGTTAAATATGACAGTGGTCATTATTTTTATAGGTACAGATTCACAAAGTGGGGTCAGAATCAGACCTTCAGGTACTACTTCACTACAGTCTTTGAACTCTAACAGCCTTTGTCCCATTTTTCAGCTACTCTAAACACTTTTTGTTGTTCAATTAAAAACCTGCTGTAGAAACCTGCTGAGTTTAAGAAACATACTAATAGAATAAAAACTCATACCTTTATTTCTGCCAGTCTTGGTGCTGGAGGTGTCTCCAGGGACAAACAGGTCTGCCTTGGATGAACACAGTCCGGCTCCTGAAGACTTTTTGCGGCGCTGTCCTCTCATCTTTTCAATTTAAACACAAATAAACATTGCACGTCCCAAATTCCCAACAAAATGGGGTTTTCCTACTTTTCTGTAGGATTAAAAGTTGAACTGTTTGTGTCCCCAGGTGTGTCTGCAGTGGCAGCTGCTCTGCAGGCAGGAGAAGACTTTAATGAATTCTGTAATTGGACACCAGCTGTTAGACAGAAGAAGCTAAAGCTCGGCGGTTGAGTCAGTAGCCTTTGGCTTCAGCAGCTGATTTTAAACGGTGTGATCTGCTGCAGGCGTTGGGGGCGTGTCCAATATGAGGGCTGTCAGGAAAACTCTTCCTGTCCTCCTTTTATCAGACGCCATCATGTCAGAGGATGTCATTTCTTTTCTTGTTTTACAGCACAGCTTCATTTCCACTTCTTTTAACAAAAGTAAAAGGAGCCAATTTGAGTGTTTTTAAGACAAAGGCATCAGAAAGAATCAGGACATGTTAATCATGTGAGATTAGACACATTAACACTTTTATCATATTTTTTCAAGTCTGTTGCACAGTGGATCTGAACCCAGTTACACACATAGAGACAAGCCCGATGGTCACAGGGGGCGGGGTCTTCATTACTATTGGCTTTAGATGGCCATCATCATGCCTCTTAACCAATGAGAGCCTTTGTTGTTGAACTGCTGCCTGGCAATACTCACATAAACCCTACCAAAAAGAGCAGCAATCAGGAAGACATGGAGAAAAGCACCTGTCATTTTACAGACATTTTCATTTTAAAACATTTCCTGACAGTGGCTGTTGATGAAATGTTGGGCCAAAACTCCACTCTATAATTTCAAGATGGTACATGAGTGATCCATATATGACCTGGGCTGGTCATGCAACAAGGTGTGATTCCTTATCACCCTGCTGTCGATGCTTATGATAACTTACACAACTGAGACCAACATCAGACCGATCTGCAGTTTGGACCAAGGGCTGAATGGTACCAGGCCCTATTCCTGCTGCAGGTCAGATGAACATGGATATAAACTGCCATCCTACAGTCCAGAGGAATAGGTTAAAGGTCAACCTGCTGCGAGATGGGATGTAAACACAAGTCCTTCGAACTACACCAGCTCCGGCCTTTCTGGATCGACTGAGGCTGTTACTGACAGAACTGTCACCTTCACCCACTGACATAAGACCACAAAAAGAAACAAGTTGGGCCGGACAAAAAGCAGAGACTGAAGAGATGCAATTCATTGGGCCTCTGATGTGATTAAGACATATATATATAT